TCAAACAAATCGTAATTCTTTTATTCCAAAATTTTCGTCACCATTAGCGATTCGTGCGCCAATTATAGCATCAACTGATGACTATGATGTTAATCAAAATTCCAAGCAAGATGATAACGTCGGTAAATTCACAAATGTAGACCCTGCTCAAAATATTCGTGACAAACAAAAAGTTAATAATAGTATTCAAATTGTTTATAACCAAAAAAACGTCTCCTGAAATCACAGACTCGTTATTAGCTCCCATCGAAGAGGAGTTATCTAAATCAAACCAGAATTCATTACGTTCTACAACCAAAAAAACAGTTCCTGATTCATCTGTTCATGTAAAACCTACACATTTACGTGAATCTTCAAATTCTTTGCAAATGTTATTTGTTAACACAGTTGTTGGGTTGAATAGTGAAAATACATCAGAGGGCTCGGATCAAAAGAATGATAATTATTCTCAAAATGACGTTAGTAAAAGAAAAACTATTTTGTCTGAAAAATTTAGTTTAGCGATAAAGAAAGGGTGGAATAATGAATTTGTTGAAGCCGAAGAAATATTGATGAGGCGTAGAGATGGAATTCCAAGATGGTGTGTTGCTTTTGCCGAAGTGCAATTAGTTAAACATTTAATGACAGGACAAGCTGTGGAATATCAAGATCCAGAGTTAATAAATTCACTAATGGAAGCAGAAAAGTTAGCTAGCAAGGTTTGTGAGAACAAGGATGATTTTGTAAGTAGCATATACATCACGCGTGATCATTATGATTTTATTAAATTCTCTTGCTAATTTATCAATATAATATGATACCATCAAAATTTATAGGAAACAACATTTACTCTGTTTATAACAGATGTTTGGAAAACTGATATAAAACCAACTAGTACACCTAATGAAGATGAGGCCGAATTTGCATCTCTTCGTGCAAACTATCGATGGGATTGCGAATTGGCAATGGCCGACATTCTTCTTTTCCGGTCAGTTTTGCAAGTTATTAGCGGTAGCGAGATTAAAGGCGCGTTAAATTTACGTAGAGCATGGAAACTTTACTCCAAAGTTAAAGATGAAATTGATCGAATTAAAGGAGAATCCAATAAAAATGTTCATAAAAACGAGTCAAGCAGTGCAAATAGCAATAATAGTAATCGATGGAGTCTTATGGGAATATCTAGTATGGTTAGACTTGGTGGTCATACACAAGAGGGTTCAGGGGGTGTACATGATGCCATCAACTCGATAAAAGTTGATCCTGACATTGAAGATTGTCTCGAGTTTGGAATTGGAATTTTTAATTTTATTGTTTCCATCGTAGGTTTTTCCTTTCGGTCATTATCATCATGTCTTATTATTATGTTCTGTAATTGCTTAAAAATGTTGCATGCAGGTTCCTGGTTCGTTTTTGTCTATGCTAAAAACGTTCGGTTTTAGCGTTGATCGAGCGCAAGCTATTCGTATGTTAGAAAATTGCTATTCTCGTGATGGTATTCGAGGTAAGGATGCAAGATATTATCATGAATCATATACTATATATCTACATAAATATATAAAGATATATTTATCTTTTAACGCATATTTTTAATTTTTTTAATATGCCTTGTATAAAATAAAAGCTCCTTTTGCTGCATTCTTTCTTCTTGTAAATTACCTTTTCTTACCTCGAGGAATTGCCGACGCTGCACCATCATTGACTAGAGCTGGCATTATTGCCAAAGAATGTGTCAATAAATACCCGTAAGAAGAATGATTATCATGAATTTGAAATGGTTTTATTTAAAGACGTTAATACTGACAGATATTTTGATTACAGAAATAGTTCACCATTCTTATTTATGGCTTGTCAGCAAGCCCGTAAAACAGGTAGTCTTAATGAAGCAATAAATTATATAACAACTGGTGTTAGAAGCTGTGAAAACGTTGGTGCCACCAGTACACACCATCGGTTTGAAATGGGAATGACATATTTAATGAATTTAGATATTTCAGCAGCAAAAGATATATTTGAATTATTGTTTTAC